GGATAATTTTCTCTTCAGAGAAATTCTTTTCGGACGGTCATTCACCTCCATTAACAATATAAGGGATATGAACGTGCTATGCTGCTTGTTTCTTGTTCTTTCCTCTTTTTTCCTCCTATTATCTACAAAACGGATTAGGACTGACTTATTTTCTTCATTCGTTCTCATTTGCTGGCGATGAAGGCTTCGAGATCATACCATTATTTAATTAATTGACACACATAATTCCTTTCAGTACTCTTTAATTAATAATAAAAACATAGGATATTAATGATACAAAAACTCTTTTCAACAATATTACATTTAAAATATTACGTTTTAAAAAATGTCTTAAAATTAATATTTCAAATGTTGACACTAAGTCGAGAAAAAATTTTTTTAAATTATGAAATTGCATTTTAATTGATGCACTTAACATTTTGATGCGATAAGAAAATACTTATTATAAGAAGTCATATATATTTCATGTTTGGATATATATAAAATGATTTTTTGTTAATATATTTTGACGATTTCACAACAGTTTTAAACAAGCTGTAATTAATTTTGAAAATCTTGGATTGTAAGAAACGTTATGAAAAATGATATTATTGAAAAATAATGGATAAAAATATCGTATCTCTCAAAACCTTTGAAAAGTTAAAAGTTAATTGGTATGACTTTTCCAAACATCCTTATCTAATTCTCATACCAAAACTGAAAGGGACTCTGAAAGACATCACCACACAATGAAAATGACTTTCCGTTTATTTCGTTAAAGAGAAACGTTCGTTAACGAGAAGAAAATTAAATCCTGCCTTTCCTTGATTTTTCTTGGAAACAGGTTTTTCTCGAGAAACGAGTCAATGTCCGATATCGGGCAACAATGAATTAGCATATCGCCGGTCTCGCAATTGAGCGAAGGTAGTCGCACCGATTTAATCTTCGCACTCTGCACCCCGCGCGAGAGGCGACGTGATCTCGTCCATGTATTCCAAGCGATATATTACGAAGATCGAGAAGGTTATCTGGACGCGCACGTGGAGTCCTTCATCGACGCGACGAAGTCACGAGGATAATCGAGGCGCGCGTGGCTCGCCACGGTATCGATACTCCCCTTTCATTGACCTGCGCTGAATCGAGCAAATGACGATGAGAGAATCGTTACGTTCTTGTTCCATGTTCCGGATCAATGACCGAAGTAGTGCAATCTCCGACGCGTACGAATATGCATATTTTGAGTGCATCGCCGCGCACGCATGACGTTACACCGCGAGAGGCTTATCCGACCGCGATAGAAACTTATCCAGCTGCAAAAAATTCTGATAGTCGCGCCTTCGTCGCGATTATTACCACGTCGGATAAATTCAATAGCCGTGTGAGTTAATACACTTAATTACACAACTAATCAACAAAGCGGAAAGTTTTAAGAGAGCTTTCGGTCTTCAGGACATGTTTTTTGATGTCTCGCAGAAAAATTTATGTTAAGATAAAAAAATTTAATGTAAACATCTTACTAAATTCTCTGATATATATATATATATATTTTTAAATATTGGGTGATTTCATTAAAGAGATTTTATTATAGAGATATATTTCTCTGTGTGAGAAAGAGAATACAATTATGTTGAATGGTTGGAATAGATATATTCAACGTGAATATTTACGTGAATATATTTATTTTTAGAAAAAAGGGTGTTATCGTTTTATTAAGCGCGTTGAAAGATAAGTTCGACTCCATCGTTTGACCACCGTTAAGACTTACGCTGACATCGCTTTGGCACAAAGTGCTAATTCCGTGGAAATTCCAACGTTTGTAGACAACGACTCGAGTTTTGGCGAGTCTAAGCGACTTATCACCTACTGGAGACGGACAGCGTCGTAAACTGAAACGAACACCTTACATTCGTTCAAACGCGTAATGAAAACGATTCCGTCTGCTGTTGCATAAAGTGATCCGACTGGAAGGGATATCACAAATCAATTTTAGTTAGATAATCGGATTCCTAAAACTGTTTTCCTGTAACTCGTGTCCACGTGTCCTATTACCCCTGCAACACGTGATGAACATATAAACACACTTCGGCTATTTATGTAACAGATATGATTCTGATCATTTTACCTTATTTCGGAAAAGTATATTTTTATGAAATTGAAAAGAAAACAAGATTGCGTACTTCTCAAGCACTATCTGATTTAATTTTAAGGTTTAGAGAATGGCCATACGTTCCAAGGTTCTAGAAAAATGCAAGAAATTTATTTTATTTAAATTGAGTTTTTGTTTTACATCTGAAATAAACAATTTCCTACTCTGAGGTTTAAGAGAAGAGTTTTCGATTATCATCAATAAAATTTTTAAATTCTAGATAGAAGTAATGTAAATATTAAATAATATCAAAAGAGATTGATCCAATTGTTCAAAGCAGCATGTAAACTATTTCTAATTAAAACTAAAAGTAATAGAAAAATTTTGCCTTGAGAGATTGTTTCTATGAGCTTTTGTGTCAATAAATTATAAATATTAAACTGTTTTTATATTCTGCTAATAACAATTTTGTAATAGCAATTTTCTTGTGTTATCTACTAAATCAACTCTACGAAAAATATAAAAAATTATGAAGAGAAAATTCACCTCATTATTCTGTGCATGAAAGTATCAAAATATAGTTGCCAAAAAATAAATAGTTTACGAGATACTTTATACTTTATGTCAAATTATATATCAAATTTAAATCTCATAAAAGAAAGTATTTGATGAAAAAATAGTATAGTGTTTTGAAAAGTTCTCGAGATTAGCTACAAGAATATGTAATACAAAATAACATTCCATATAAAAAAATCAATGTGACCTTGACCTGACCTTAACGATGTCATCCAAAGTCAAACTGATAAGATTAGTAAATAGATCTTTTTAAACTCTACAATTTTTATTCGAAATGTTTTTTTTGTAAAATTTATATTCTTCGAAATATTCAGGGGTCCCGACCTTATTAGAGGGGGGGGGGTTCAGTTGTATGTATTTATCCTAATAATATATTAATCGATTAACTCGCGATGTACACAGATAATTTCTTGTGACTGATTAAATATATTTAAACTTTGAACTTTGAAATAAATGCAAGACGAGCACAGGTATCTATGAATTCTTAGGTCAATGACCTTATACGTAGGGTTATGGCTCAATTCTAAATCAAAATAGCCTAAGAAAACACTATAGAAACCTCTTGTATAATCCATTATTCTTTTTAAAAAGAATCTATATATCATTCTCATAAGGATGACATATGGAAATACGTAATTGAATTGTATAAAGCGTAAATTTTAGAAAACTTTATAAATGACATTTATATGATATTATAAATAATATATAAATTTATCATCAAATAATATTAAATAATTAATTAAACTAATTTATTAAAATTTTATACAAATCTAATCCAATCTAATTTCGTTCTTTTGTCTCTTGCCATTCTCGCATTATGAAATCAATCACGTGTTCATGATTGTTTACTAATAATTACTGCATTTATTCAATATTAATTGGCATATTATATAACGTTCGTGTTCTTACTAATTTTATAATACTTCGTTAGTAAGAATTGGCCGTTTAAGAGAGCTCGCGTGATCTCTCGCCTCAAACCGTTTGCGTAATTAGCTTCATTAAGTTACAAATACTGGCGCGCGGGATGAATGCGTCCGCGATTGAGATTAATTGGATTTACACGTAACGGCCGCTGCGAATTATGACTATCCGAAATCTCGGGCGATGCGTCTGACCAAATGACCTCGAAGTTTTGATAAGAGAGGCGACGTCCGGCGCAAAGTCATCGATCGGCACAATTTGCGAATTATGATGCAAGCGGTCGATTATGAGACAGCCCGTTATTTCTTCGCGCGGCACGTAGGCATTCATTGCAAAGTGTAATCTGCACAAGCTGGCCAGTCAAAATATATTCGCGTCAGCGTATCCGTGCGCGGAGTAATATTTTCAATCACGATAAATTGCCCGTAATGACGCTCGTCGCTTATTTACTAAGTATAGAATACATTTTATAAGTATCGATTCCTCACTTTCGCTTCTAACATGCTGCTTCGAGTGTCACATATGGATGGTAATATTTATGTAATAAATTTAATACGTGCTTAATTCATCAATTATAGTGATAATAAATTAATACATTTATTAATTGATATGTTTTATAATAATATTTTGTAATATAAGTTGAGATAATGTATCGTGCAAAAATAATAGTTAAATAATTGTTTCAGAGAAACTTTCTATTTCCGTCTGACATTATAAAATATTGCAATACTATTTATAAATGAATAGTAGTATTTCATTCTGTTTTATCAGCTTGTTATCTCAAGATTGAGTAAGTCATCAAATAATTCTTAATTCAATGTGACGGTCAAGTACTCGAGTAGTTCCGTTCAATATATACAAACAATGACAAACAAACAGATCATATTTAATTATTCAATTCATTCTTTTGGCATTTTCATTTATTCTATCATCCTGTTCCTTATGTTTGCAGCCGAACGAGAGATAGAAAGCGGACAATGGGAAACTTTCAAGAACCGTTATTACTAACCGTCAACAACTCTATCAATGAATCCGTAATTGTACGACGCTTACTTCGAGGAAGTAAGAAAGTAGCTAACATTTATTTTCATATATCAATTCTCCATGCACTTCAAACGGAACGAGCGAGATGCGCGGTAGATCGCACTGCAACGTCTGCGCAAAGAATCGAAAACCGCTTTGGTTTACATCGACATCTCCCACCACCCGGGGTAGCTGAAGCAAGATCCCTGCGGGGGACCAGTGGTCCCCACCTTAGGGCGAGAGGCCTCGTGGTCTTTAGCCAACGAGGTCCGAGCATACGGGGTCCGCCCCGCATCCCCAACGGAAGTGCTCATCACCCCGCAAACGTACGGTGATCGCTGTTTTATCCCCACCTGTTTCGCCCCCACCGTCCGCATGTTCCTCTCTCTGTAGTCCGACTACCCCTCCATTGTACCAAAGGACTGCTGGGGGACAAGTCAGATGAGTCACTATATAAGACAGGCAAGGACAAGAAGGTGTATGGTAGTACATACTCAATCCTTTCGTGGCTCGCACAGTCGTGGCGGGCAATAGCGAATTCGGTTGCGGCGGTGACCGACTTTTTTCTCTTTCTCTCTTTTTTTTTCTTCCAATTGACCAATTAGAATCCTTCTTCCTATCTTCCTTTCCTCTCCTCTCCCCAACCCTCCTGTCTTAAAGCTATTGCTTGTTATTCTATATTTTGGGAGGGGGGAATTCCCACTTCCTGGTGTCTAGTACCCTTAAATAGTTTACCTTCCTTAAGCACATCGCTTATTTCCTTCACGACAGTAGTCGGAGCGTCGTCAGATATAAAAACACAGAGTCAAAGGAATATAGTACATCCGAGTAGACAAGATTGTGTCTCCTTTTCTTTCCTTTTTTCGAATATCGAAAGGCTAAGAAAGACATACAGATATACAGACTTCGTGCGGTACATATATATCAGTGATAACTGCACACTGACAAACGTTCGAAAACATTCACGAGCGTTTCGATTTTTGGTAGAACGTGATCGGTACAAAATGTTGGTGGAACAAATTACTGGATTTCTGTCAGATTACGGTTTTTGGTGGACTGTTTTAAAGGACAATTTCACCCTGTTTGTCATCTTTACCGTTGTGATTTCCTTTTTGAATTATTTTCGATATCTAAATTCATTGCCACCTGGTCCGTGGGGGTTGCCGTTCTTGGGCTACATACCCTTCATGACACCACAATTGCATCGACAATACAAAAAGATGGCTGAGAAGTATGGTCCCATATTCTGTGTCAATTTTGGATGTAAACCCGTCGTTATTCTCGCCAACCATGACACCATACGTGAGGCATTCAACCGCTCGGAATTCGCGGGCAGGCCGAACACCCCATTCATAGGCATCATGGAGGGATACGGTAAGTGTGAAATGCAATATAGATTCCAATAATACGCTTTATCTCGCGACTTTAGCACGCTCTCGTATCGTTGCGGGTTAAAGCACTCCGACTGTCGACTCGGTCGTCTTTTTTACATGATTTCATATTTCATTGGTTTTATCACAAGTTCTTTGCCTGTGCCGCGTCTGGATTATTTTCAATGCTAATTGATATTGAATGTCCGTAACTTCTTATACGTCTACTAAGTGAACAATAAATTAGATTATAAAATCTGAAATACGAATATTTGAGAAAACTTGACAGATGATTGTTTTTCGCAATTTGTCATATTTTTCAAATCATCGCGTTTCCGATTACACGTTTTCACGGTTGCTTCTCGGTCAATGCTAACTTGTTTCGAGGTTGCAATCGATCATCCGCGAATAGATCGATACTATGAAAGCAGAACGAGTTCGATACGAATGAATAACGTACTCGTATAAGAGTTTCCGCGATTCAACATCGCTCTTATTGTTATTGCAGGAGTTATTAATGCGGAAGGTCCCTTATGGAAGAATGAGAGAAAATTCCTCAATACAAAATTTAAACAATTTGGTGCGAAAATGATGAACAACCACAGTGACAATTTGGAGTTAGTGATAAAGGTGAATATAGAATTAATAGATCTGTAAAAAAATCTATTAATTTATCTTGTCCAGCAAATTATGGAATTTTTAAATTGCATAAGCTTCTCTTGTATTTTTTTTTTTATTTAAGCTCTTTATGTGATATAAAAATTATTTTATATAAAAATAATATATTAAATATATTATTTATTTATAGAATTTAACATAATATAAGAGAGAGATATATAATGCTCGGGACTAATTTTTTCAATTTAATATTTTATATTTCATATTCTATATTTAAATAGAATATGAAAATATTTTCACGCTTGCAATACCATGAAATTTTTATTTTATATGAAAAAAATTCTTAAAAAATTAAAATCAAAACTCTGTCAAAAATAAGCAATTTAAATGTTTTGATTTAGCGTGAAGTCGATACGTTGCTGCGGTACATGGCAAGGCACGAATTTGAACCGATACATGTTTCGTCTCCTCTCAGTCTGGCAACTACCAACGTGATTAGCTATCTCGTAATGGGAAAACGCTTTACAAATGACGAATTTTTATTCCAAAGATTCATGAACCTCACTACCGAGGGATTTAGACTCTTCTCTTCATTAACGATGGCGAATTATGTACCAGCATATCGTATTTTTCCGGGTACGCAAAAAATAAAGAAAAAGATTCAACAGAATCGGGAGGAAATGTCAATGTTTTTTGAAGAGGTTATCAAGGAACATAGACAGAAGTACGATAGCAACAATCTTAATGATATTGTTGACACCTATCTATATGAAATTGAGAAAGTCCGAGAAAAAGGTGAAGAGAATTTCGAAGATCGTTTCGAAGGAAGAGATGTCGGTGAGTGAAAATCGATCAAAAATTTTTTTAATCTTCTAAGTTTTTCAAAGATACATTATATTTAAAAGTTTCAAATTTTACACAGTATTATGAGCAATATTAATATAATATAATATGAAATTTATATAGTTTAATGATTAATATGTGTGTACTAGGAACGCTTCTTTGAACAATTGTTTTTCTTTACAGATCGTCATTTGCAGCAAATTATGGGGGATCTCTTCTCTGCCGGTATGGAAACGGTGAAAACTACTTTGGAGTGGGGAATATTTTTCATGCTGCACCACCCGAATGCGGCAGAAGCAGTGCAGAATGAATTGGACCAGGTCGTAGGAAGATCAAGACTGCCCAATCTGCAAGATATGGATCAACTTCCGCTTACCAAAGCGACAATTCAAGAGATCCTTCGGAAAAGTAGCGTTGTACCGCTTGGAGCACCGCATGCTACTACACGGTAAACTAATCTTCTAATTTCTACTATGTCTTGCAGTCTTTAACGAACATTTTCTTTGTCGTTCGTTTTCTTGTCCTGTTGAACAATCAATCATATCATCGGCCCTTTCCCTTTCTCTCCGTCTACACGAGCTAAAAGTGGATTTCACAATGAGTCCTCGCTTTCCTCCTTAGCAGCTTTCCGTGTCTGGCATATCAGAATCTCTTGCGCGCGCAATCGTTTCGGATGATTATATTCGGCAGGCAAAAGTGAAAGCAAAAGGTGCGTGGCCCCTCTGTCTGCTTTTCGGTCGGATCGCCCCGCCTTTGGTCCGAGACGTCTTTGAGGTCGACGACACCGTTTCTCATATAAAAAAAACCTATAAGCCAGTCTGACATATCAGAAATACTTGTTAGGAATAATCGCGCACGAAAGCAACGGGTGTCGTTAGAAACAACGCGGGCGGCACGGTTTCACTTCTTCGCGAGGAAGAACGCCAAAAAGAGCGTGACGAGCGCACGTGCGTGCGTATAAAAAAACCAACTTGGCCTGACTTCATCGGCAAATTCGTATTACAAACGACTGTAGAAATGCACGATTATTACACATCAAATGCAAATAATTAAACTTTGTGCGGAAAATTAAATTTACGTTATATTACATTTTAAAAATATTAATCAATAATCAATAATTCAATAATTTATAATTAATCGTAAAGAGATATATCTTGATCCTTTTAGATAAAATTAAATGTTATAATTAATCGAATAATAATCATTAGTTGAAATTATCATAAACACGTTTCTCAATTGATGTTACAGGCCTACGACATTTCAAGGCTACCATATACCAGCTAACTCCGAAGTAATATCATTGATATATGCGGTGCATAATGATCCGGAACTCTGGGGCGATCCGGAAGTCTTCCGGCCAGAACGTTTCATCAAGAGTGACGGTAAAATCGACAAGCCCCCGAAATACCTCATGCCCTTTGGAGTTGGTCAACGAATATGCTTGGGCGAAAAACTGGCACGCTACGAACTCTTTTTATTCTTTAGTTCGCTGTTACACACATTTAATATACGCCTGCCTGAAGGCGCCTCGTTACCTAGCATCGAGGACGGCATCCTTGGTACCACTTTTGCACCACAACCTTTCAAGATTTGTCTACAGATGAGAGATTCTATACTGATAGATGGCAACGCCAACAACGAGTTTGTGCGTAACGTTGGTGCGTAAGTATTCAAAGAGTCCACAGCACGGGCGCAGTACTTGTTCCTATTGACGCAGGAGAGATGAATAAAGAGAAGAGAATTTGGAAGTCGCGTGTCGATGCGTGAAATCTATTCGCGCTAACGCACGCGCGCATCAGCCGAGATGAAAACATGAGAGACAGTAAGATTGTTTAATTATATGTTAATTATTACTAAAGAGAGAAGGGTTGAACCTTCTCGTTCCGCCAAAACCTTCATACAAAGTCACACTCTAATATTTATGAAAAAAATTTTGACATTAGCCTAACTGAAGTTTATACATTTACTCTGCTGAAAAACAAAAAAAAAGCATTTTCTTAATTTAGTTAAAAAAAATTTTTTTTTAGTAAACTAGAATTTTTTTCTTTTATTTTTTTCTTTTTCTCTGCCCGAGCAACACACATTGATTGACTTTTAGCTAATAGATGATCAACATTATTGGCCAATGTATGATCACTATTTTACCATCAATAGTTCTTGCTCGGATGATGTTTAATTCTTTAGTGGATAATTATAAAGTAAGATAAAAAAAGATTAGTATAGTAAGATACTAAAATAAGTTGATTAGTATAATAAGATTATGTAAGCTAAATGTAGGTTCTCGAGTCAATACTCACTATGCCCCTGCCACTAATCCGTTTAACTTTGGTATGAGATCTTATATAATTCCATTTTAAATTAATAGATTAATAATGAAAACTACTTGATTATTAACAAAAATACTTTTTACAATTTTGACTATCTTTCACTTTTTTATTTTTTATTTTTTTGATGAATTCAGGATCTCACCATATCGGAAGTGGTTTCTTTTCATTTTCGTACATGTGAAAAATATTAATTAATTTGATAGAACCGATTAAGCAAAAAGTAATTAACTAGATCGTTGGTATGTTGACGAATACCGTCACACGAACTGCTACGGACTGATATCATTATCAGTCTCATTAAAAATTTTAAGTAATTATTTTATTAGTGCCGGAATCATAAAAATAATCAAGATTTTTACTACGGAGGCAATTTTCTTTTTTAAGACTAACTAGTCTAATATCAATCAGATGAGTGTAGGAAAGCGGAAGTCCTCTTCATTTATGTTTTAAAGTACAAAAAGAACCTACGTTTTAAAACATCTCTCCCTACCTCCTTTCTTTTTACTCTTTCATATTTTTCCGAGCTTACCATTCCAACTCTTTTATCGTCTTCATGAATATTTATTGCCTTGCAAACGCCTTTTATTCCCATTTACCTTTACTCTTCGCTTAGTATTTATTCACGCTTAGTCTAGTTCGGTGAGATCGACGAGATTTCGATCGTTTTAGGCAATTGTCATTGGTACGACAGTTGTCAGCACAGTTGTTGTTGTCAATCATTGTCAGTCATACAGTTTCTGTTAATAACACACCTCTGATCAAAGTGTCTTATTGAGAATTATTCGTTAACAATATGATTGTTCCATCATCACGATTTCGAATATCGCGTCGATTCGCCGTAGATCTCTGCAAACGAACAAGGATAGTGGCTATTCGGTGCCCTTCTTGTTTACATTAATAATAGTAATCCGTTAAGGCAAAGAAAAAGATAGCAAATGAGTGAGAGAGTGTGTGTGAGAGAGAGAGAGAGAGAGAGAGAATAAAAGAATAAAATAAGTATAAGTTAGTAAGTATGAATCCAAACAAAGTTCAAATATAGGGATATAAAATGTCTTTCTTCCCGATTTTTAAGATGTCTTTCGTAAATAATATTATAAATAATGTTTTTAATATATTTTATATCTTGATCTTGGACTTTGTATGTGAGGAATCATTTCGTACATGAACGTTAGTGTATGTACGATCAGTTTAATGATAGGTTGTCGACGAATCACGTGCCGTTTGATGAAAAAAATGCGAGACAGCCCTTGCACCCGAGATCGTTCGCGTTAATATTGATTACGATACCATTAGCTATTCTAGCGATTATAGTCAATCCGACAATCCTGCTGGATAAAAGAAGCCAGGCCCGTGAGCGATTTTCGTGAAAGTCGTTGTCAGATTCTGTTGCGACATCCACCGATGACGTGGCGACCATGTGGCGCGCCGGCTGATCGGAAATGATAGAATGAATATCGATCAGGATATGCATCAAGGAACTGTAAGGAAATGGATTTCAATCGGATTCAGTTATTTCCCAGAGTGTCTTTTTGAGGAAAAATAAAAAAGTTCCGCTCGGAATCCATTTCCAAAAATTCTCGTTCCACAAGTAATACCAAGTCCAAAATCGAGACAGAGAAACGTTTTTAGCAAAAATGTCTTTAAAATATCTTATGTTTCGAATTTGGAGTTTATATTATTTGACGATGAGACAATATATCTTTAGCTCACTCGGGTGCGGGCTGAGGCTGTGAATTCAAGAGACCCGGGATGTACGGTCGACGATTCATTGTGACGTCGCGTTATCCGATTTCCCAAAGATCCCAGGCTGTGCATCCTAGAAGCGGCGAAGAGTCGCGTAGCGAGTAAACATTCCCGATTTTGATATTAGAAACTCAAGCCCGAAATGTATTATCTTAGATTCAGTTTAAAAATACTCGCCGACTGATAGACCCGTTTCAAATGTAGAATTGATGCCGCGCGCAAAACTCCCTCAAATATTTGATAGAGCGTTAATAAATTTTACCGTAGCATGCATGAATTACAGAATGCCGCATTGTGTTCATCCGTCGACGGAACGTTTATCGTTCTCTTTTTTTATAAAATAAAATTTTTCAAATTGAAACAATCGTTTGGTTAATTAATATACCTATCATCCTGATTAATATATCTATCATCATAATCATTTTGAAACTTTTCATTATAAACTTATTTCATAAATACTGAAAAAAAATTTCAAAATATAACTTAAGGATCTTTTTATCTTATTTTTCATAAATCGTAAAATTACAAAAATATTTGTATATTGTAATTGTAATTCTATTATTTTACTAATATTTAAGTGCACAAAAATCTTGTTAGATTTTGATGATTATATATATTGCCGATGGAAACTACATTATCATTCATAGAGTGTGTTCATCGGCCGAATATTCCAAGAGATCGAATTCTTTATCGATCATTCCCGCGAAAAATTTTATCTGGAAACTGCAGTCTTGGGAACCGGATTCTTAAGGATGAGTAAAAAAAACTTGTAGTTCTTCGGCTGCGTGCACCATCGGCCTTCGACTCTGATCTCTGAGATCGCGCGCTCATCCCTTCCTGTCGTCGCTCAATACTTCGAGGACTTTTGCTTGGGGCCTACGAAAGAGAACTGAACTGGACCTAGCTTTCTCTTCCACTGGTCTGCTCAGTCTCTCATTTGGTAGAATGCTTTTTTCAATTTATACGGCCATTCGTATTCCGCAGTTATAACTAAAAATAGTCACGAATACGATGCCATTTAACTATTTCAATCAAGTGATTAAAAGAAAGGATTATGATCATTGTCAAATTAAACAAAATGCTGCTGAGAAATTGTCGCGCTGAAACCTTTTACGTAAATTTTAATAATAATTACAAATTTCGATTTAAATGTTAAACACAATAAATTGAAATATTGGAAATAATTACATATTTGTAAAATTGTGTGGACCACTCTTATCTGAGATTTTTATTAATTAAACTTAAACAGCTTATACTCGTTAACTTGACATTTTTACATTTTATGAAATTTCCCTGAAACGATCCCTGAAAATCCGAAAATGAAAAAATTCGAGGGATGTTATGAGCATTTAGATTTACCAGATCCTCTGTTAATAATCACACGAGTTCATTCGCGGATATGCGAGCCGTACGTAAGATTTCTGTGGCATCGCAGAGCGAGAGACGAAGCGCTTGGCGCGCGCTTACATAAGAGAAACTCGCGCGTTCTGGGTTTCTAACGAAATATCGTCGCCGAGTACATTACGCCGAGTAAGGTTAATGACACGAAAGTCAACTGGCCCCAAACCGCGCACAAGTTACGTAAGGTCAGCTCAGCCGGCCGCCAGTGCGTCCCGGGGACGTGCATTGATAATGGCGCATTTCCTGCAATATCGTATGTACGAAAAAAAAACGCATTAACGTCCCAGGTGTGCAACCGCGACACGTGGCGCCTGTTGCCCCAGTAAGGGCCCTTTTACTTCGTAACTTCGTGGCCTTTTCTCGTCGAAGAGTCGGTCGAGCGCCAACTGGCTTACCTGTCTTCACACAGTGAAGGCAGAAAGTTTGAAGAACCGTTGCTCCAAGGCTTGGCTCAATGAAGCAGGAAGAGGCGTTTTGTGGTTTATTTCTTTTTTTTTTTTTTATTTACCCAGCACAAAGCTGAAAGTATGTTAGAGCAGGAGGGTCTTTTTATAGCCAGGATCACTTGGATTTCTTTATCTTTCTCCCGATAAAAATTTGACTGTCACGAGGTAAATTAAAAAGCACTGAGTTTTCATCTATGTAAAAATTGAATGGCATTTTATTCTATTTGTATTATATAAGTTGCATTTATGCTGTATTTGTCTAAATCTTATGATGGTTTTTTTTATTTCATTAAATATTGTTTCAATTATTTACTACATTGTACGTTTACAATTGCAAAAAGCTGACTGACTCATCTTAAAAAGCATTAATTTTTATTTCATGTACACATTTGTGCTGTTAACATGAAGAATTTCCTATATCTTATTGTATGATAAAAATGTAATAATAATTTAAAAATCAGAGAAATAAATTTGACAAGCTAAGATTAATTAAATTTTTTACAAGTAAATTTCGCATTGATTATATAATTTTACGTCTATAATATAATTCATATATTTTAGTAAAATATTGTACATAAAAATGCATAAATGTATTCAAGTGGATAAGAAGCAGGAAGAGGCCTTCGAAATGCATTCATTTATTTCGGAGCCGTGACCTTTCCACTTCCTTTCAATAAAAATAAGAAAAATAATACTTAAGTTCCTTCTTCTTCTATGCTCTGAAGAATTTTTGTGCGTTCCTAGACTTAGTAGAAGGAAACACAGTTAATTTCGGCAGTAGGTGAACGGTGCGCTTGTACTTTATCCAAGGCCACTACATTGTGAGATAAAAACGCGTGTTGCATAACGCTGACGGAATCTCACGAATCCGATGCAAGAAAAAGAAGAGAGACGAGAGAAAGAGAGAGAGAGAGAGAGAGAGGGAGGGGAGGGAGGGAA